GACCTCGGGGGGGGGGGGGTTTATGGGTGGGGGAGAGGGGAGAAGGGGACACCTTTTTATAAACAAGAAAAACAATTGGGTCAGGGTTGCTTCATTAAAAATCGTGAGCAAAATGTTGCCAAAATGTCAACATTTGGGGCAGTGTGGGACCCATTTTTTTTGCTTTGGCCATGCCCATGTTGGTTGTTTATTCTCCACATAGTGATTTACTAGTTCATGTTTTGGAAAACTTTTCAGTAAAATTGGATTGAATGCTCCACCTCACAACTGCTTTATACATGTACACTACGAAGATTTACATTGCGATGCATTGTCGGATGGTTTAGGTTGTAAATCTGAACGTGACCATCTCACGAATGGGCTATGTGCAAACTTGAAGCGCTCCACATTGAATTGTCAGTATTTATATTACAAATGGAATTTCCAGTGATAATTCAACTCTTTCTATAATGAAATTAGGATATTCTTGAAGAGGACCTGTTCTAGTTGGGGAAGGTTATGGGCGGGGCAATGGGGGGCATAATTGAATTGTGTACGTGTGCATTTTCATCAGTGTGTTGACCAATCAAACATAATCTCATGTTTGCAGGTGTGGAATTTAGCGTTGCTACAGACTTGCAGTGCTAACATTTAAGCTATCTGTTCCCAAGCAGAGCATGATGTGGCCATTGCATGCTCGTGGTCGTTTTAAACCTTTACCATTTTTACTTATTTTGCCTCAATTTTACCTGTGCCCATCCGTTTAATGAACAAGAAGTCACTGGTTTCCTTGCTCTGTGGTGTGAGACATGCATTTACTTACGTGTACATGTGTGTTCATCTATCTGTAGTCTCAGTTCAAGTCTTTGTGTTGTACGTGTACTTGGAACGCACAGCTTACTGATCTAGCTGCCACAGAACAGGAGCAGACAAGAGTGATCTGACCTTAGTGGATTACGCATGACAACAATTTGTAGGCAGTGATACACTTTTGCTGCATTTGACAAGGCACAAATACATGGTACCTTTCTCCTTCCTTCTTCCATGCTTGGTCTTGAACTGAGACTGATTTTTCAGTTGCTTGGGTGTGACACGTGCATAAACGAATGTCCTAAAAAGCAGACCTGCCAACACGCCGTACTCCTTCTTGAGGTCAGGCATTACCACACAATAGATTAAAAATTTCAATGAACCGAAGACTCATTTGAATACCTTTTAATAATCTATTGTGTGGTAATGCCTGACCTCAGGAAGGAGTACGGCAAGGTTGGCAGGTCTGAAAAAGGGTAAGCATAAATGCCCAAACTGCACGAGCTGAACATTCAAAATGTTCACAGAGTGTACTATCGTTTTCATTGTGCATGTTCCATCACCATCCTGTTCCGCATGTGGCTTTTTTTTTTTTATCTGCAGAGGGCCAAAGGAAGTATGTGACAGATATCGCTCGTTTTAGGTGTTAATGTCATTTGATTATCTGCGCATGCACCTTTTAGGTGATTTCTGCCTTTCCACCGTACTCTACGAATACATAACATCATATGTCTGCCTGAAATCAGCCGTGATGTTGTATCTGTTTTACCACTCCTCATGCGTTATTCATTGGCATTTGCTGGTTACAATTGTAGTCAACAACATGAAAGTGTACCACCATTTTTTCGATTGTATTTGGGACGATCCTTGCAGTGAACTGTTCCCGGAGCCCCGGGGAATCCATCCAAGGAATATTACATTTGCATCATTGACTTGTGAGTGGATCCTTGTGTGGGTGCCTCTCCATCCTTATAGTGACTGGCACATTATATGATGACTGGACCACGAAGAATTAGTTCTTCAATATGAATTAGTATGAGGTGTGGTGATTTCAACTATCTCCACCAAGAACGCTCTGAAAGTGTTTGGTTAGGGATGCATACCGGTACGATGATAGTGCTGACACTTTGGGTTGCGCAATCAGAGTTGATCAAACCCCATCAGATTCCCATCATTTGGATTACATGTAAATGTGGAGGGATTTCTTTCCCGTTTTTGCTTTTTTTATTTTATCATTCTTACATGTACATGTATGTCACTGCCAATAGTTCAACATTTTTCAGTTTCAGAGTAATTGCTTTTCGTTTAGCTGATCATTTTTTAACTGAACATTTAGCTATTAAAACGCTTTGCTTGAGTCGGATAAGCATTGTGCCGTTGCCACAACTTTCATAAGTCTCCCACACTTTCCCTGCTTGTTTTACATTTATTACCATTATTAACACATTTTAACCAGAGTTTGTATATTGGAAAAGAAAAAGTTTCCAATTTGAAACTGTTGATATTCAACGTAACCCAAAATACACATGGACCTAACAGGATCAGTAGGTCTTATTTAGTTCGAATGAAAGTTTCATGCCATTACCGCAGGTTTTGCCAACCCGTGAAACCATTTGGTCAGAAAGTCAGTTGGCCTTTGAAACTGCCCCGTTGGATGGTAAAGGTGTAACTTTAGAGCCAGTTTTTGGTAACTTTTGCCTGTTATTTACCTCTGTGTCCACGTAGGACTTAATTGAATTGCCAAAAGTCTCCAGGTGGTTTACTGTCATCAGTCCAGTGCAACCATACTATGTAACTTGATACGTTTCTCCTGGATTTTATTTTTCCTCTACTGGTGCAGCATAATTGAGTTCAGCATTGTCAAAATTTTCCTCACTCAGAAGAGAATGGATTTGTTTGAATCAGCGGTGCTGATCCTGTTTCAAAATTTTATTCTTTCCCCAGAAAGTTTCAATGCATGTAACGTAGCAAGCACATGTGTGTACATTTGGTCAAATTTTCTGGAGCTCTCCAGAGGCCAGTTACTATCTTTGTTGTCTGTTCAGGATCTTCCCAACTTTGTCAATCAGATGGGGACTTTGAAAGTCTACCAAGATGCCTTTTTTCCCCTCCAAATGTAAATAGAGATCATGACTTGTTTTTTGGTTTGTTTTTGCCCCACCCCACAGCTGGACCCTCTTGAGCACCAGTGGATGATGGAGTCTGCCAAGGCCAACTTGGCTGCGCTGTCCAACCTCCTTAAACAAGACATCAAACTCGCTGGGAAGAAGGTAAAACATACTTTTTCCCCACACTCTCAGAATTTGGGTTTTGTTGTTGTTAATCCAGGATTACTATAAGTAAATTTGCCTTAGTGTTATGAATAGACTAATGGTGGACTTGAAAATGTGGAGCTTTTCAAAGTACACATCAGAAAACTGTGAAATGGTGCCGTGCACTGGTAATAGTCAAGTACTATGCACTGTGTACTGTGCATGTCCAGTAGTATATTACATGGGCCTAAAAAGTTGTAATGGGCACGTGTGCTACATGTAACAGTAGGCCTGTACAATATTGTGGATTTGCCTGCTGCACAGTTATTACATTCACTCTGACGTGCTGCAATGTACAGTACATGGTTGTCAAAACCAGGCAGAATTTAGCAGTTCTAAATAGAAAACAGTTGAGAATGATTTAGGGGGGATCTTTAACAATTTGGAGCTTTTTGGAAATCTGTGATGGTACTTATATTTAAACATTCTGGAAAGTTTCATTGTAAACTTTTTCAATGATGCATTTATTGTCGTTTCTTCAAATAGTCCAGTTCCAAATATAAAATTTCAACATAAAAAACCTTTGAAATAGCAAGTTCTGTATTATATTTCGAGAACTTAAAATGACTAGTTGCCCATAATTTACCTGATTTTAGCATATCATATACCAGTTATTTAATTAAGAAGGATTTTGAAACGAGCCAAGAAATCAGGTCAGTGTAAATTTACTTTTTAACTGTTTGGTGCACATGTTGTTAGCGCATAGTTTAATTCTCAGTCCAGATCAAAATCTAACGTAATGTATGTACAGCAACCACCTGTATCGCAAAAGATAATTGTGAGCAAGCAAGCAAGATTTACCGACAAATAACCCTCCAATACAGACACACCAATTTTACTGCCAGACTGGACATTCATCAGCAGATCCCCCCCTCCCTCCAAGTATTCGATGGCCAATTGATTGTGTACGAGTCAATTTATTATTCATGAAGTGGTTTATTATTCATGAAACTTTCCCACATTGAGTGGCCGCAGAATCAATTATTAACGCTTAGAACCCCATTTCCGGTTATAGACCTGTTTTGGCAAACATGTACTATTTCAATGATGAGTACAAACTACGGGTATCACATCTTACAAGGTATTGTGTAAGATTTGGTGAGATTTGCTTTGGATAATCTCATAATCCAGGGGGATTTGATTCCTAATTTGCAGTTGGCTTGTGAAGGCCAAAGAATGATGATCTTGTTTTTAATGGAAGAGAAGTGCACAGTATGCAGCTCTTGCTGTTGAAACTCCAGGATAGCTGATACATCTGAGGATGACTGGCCCCAGATGCAGAGAAGCCAATTTGACAGGCCACTAATCAGGACTTTGTCAGCCCATTCATAACCGTCATGATCATCAGCATTAAAAAAAAAGAGTTGCATCCCGCCCTTTGCAGCGAATTATGTCATGGGATGGTAAACGATTTTGAAACAGTGCAGGAAGCCAGCAGTGTGAAGTGCAGACAGGCCGACTCTGCCCCGGATTAAGAGCCTGGCAATGTTGAGACCTTATCACTGACTGTCAGATGAACCTGTAACCACCCTTCCCCCTCCCCTTTCCATGGGGATCTTGTCATTTCATGTCATCAGTCCCCTGTCAACTTGTTCCTGTTAAGAATTCCTCCCCACGTCCCTTTCACACATTGTATATATCTTGCTTAAATCCTGAAGGAGCTCCTTTTCCCCTGAATCCGTGTTTTGTTAAAGCAATACGCAGCGAGCGGAATATGAATTTGATTCATTTAAATTAACAAAAATTCAGTGTTGACAACCTCTGTTCCCAATATCCTTTTTAAAATTTGACTGATTTTGAAGAGAAGGGTGGAGTTGCTGTTGCTGGACACTCTGATTTTATCAGTCTCATAAAACTAAAAATTCCCCTTGTGATTGTTTCAAAACAAAAATACCCTTTGGACAAAAGTTCAGACAAACATCTCTGTCCTTCAGGTCGGCAGCAGTAACTAGCTATCTGTCGCTGAAGTTATGTGGTAACTGGTACCTGCCAGCTGGGGGTGTGCATAATTTTATGTGACTCCCTCCCCTAAATCTATCAAATCCTTGCGTCAGAGACAATGTTTGGACTGCCCTTCCACTAAAGACTTTATCCTGACTTCTTGGTGGAGGAAAGAAATGTGAGGGGAAAAAAAATTTGTTCTGACAAAACTGATTCCATTTTTAATTTAGCCCAGAAATGTGAGTAATATCTTTCCTTCCCTTAACATTCCAATCACTTTTTCTCCTCAATACCTCTGCTCATCTCCCCGCATTCCCTCTCCTAATAAGAAAAAATTGGACCCAAAATATTTGCCTGGAAATACGTCTCCAAAGTGGGACTGTCATTTGCTCCTTTACTTACAAGGAGGGCTACACGGACCTGAAGCAGCCACCTTAACCCCATCGTGATCACAAGCAAAGATCATGTCCCTTGATTTTCCATCATGATGAGTAGGAAAAATTGTCTTTGCTCTTACCATGACCAGAGTGAGTCGAAGCCCTATCATTTCCCATCCTTGCCCTCCAGCATCTGTTCCAAGCAAACATCACAAAGTCCCTGTAGGGATTTTTTTCCCTGTTGCATCTCAGAATTCTGCAGCATCAGCTCTCAAGGGTTAGCCCTCTATCTCTCTATCTAGACGAGAAAATTGGAGTTTACAGGACTGACTCTCTTGGCGATTGGTAGAATTGCAAAGGAAGAAAATCCCACCCCCCCTCCCATCGCCTCCTGCTCCCCTAAGTGTGGCAGCTGGACCCAGGGGTGGCGCCTCCAGTTGAAATTCAAGAAAGCCACTGTTTGCAGTCAGAGGGTGCAGTGTTTGCCGACACTTGCTCTCTCAGTGGAGTGGATTGTTGGTTGAGCACCAACCATCGTTTGCCGTGGACAAATGGGCGGTATTAGCCGGTGTTGATCAGGGACTGCTACCAGGGTAATGAACACGTGGTGCAGAAGATTGTTTAAAGGGGTGTCAGCTCATACCCTTCACAGATACTGTGGATGTGCAGGTGATCTTTTTCAGATGGGCAGTCAGATCACAAACTTTGCAGATGCCGTTTATTAGGGATTTGCTGTTGTGATGTTTATGGAGTTGGGTTCAGGTTTTCTAAGTCTAGTACCCATTGAAGTACATGCACATGTATGATTTAGTTTAAATTATATAAGATTAAGCAGTAAAGTTTTCTGTCTTCATTTTCAAACATAGTGCCCCACACGTGTAGTTTGCCACCAGGCTGCCTTCTCCATCCTGTGTGGCACGATACATTTTCCAGCACATTATTGTTAGTGTTAACATCAATAACTAATATCTACCACCTTGGAGTTGGAATCCCTTTGAGAAGGATGGCATTGCATTTCTCCAAGGTGTTTTATATTGAAACGATGAAACAGGGTACCTGTGGTTTTCCGTCAGGCATCTGATATCCAGGCTTAGCTGGAAATGGATGAGCTAATATAAGTGTAATTTACTACTTGCCCCACCTTGGTGACATTTGTTAGTGTTGTAATGGCCAAGCCCCACGCTGACTCATTTTGGAAAGGAAAGGTGAAAAAGAGGGCATGGATTTGCTTTAAGAAAAATCAGATGTGAAGATAACTTCAGAGCCTCTCAGTTGATTTGCTCTTTGATGAAAAGGCCAGACACCTTAGGCGCGAGAATCAATATGTTGGTTGTGTTGTCAGGCATGAGAGTTTTGTCCATGGTAGGAAGAGGAGAAAATTCTGCTTGAATTTTATGCTTGAATGAACTGGGATGAACTACTGCCGATGTCTTGACAGACTTGTCAACAAGGCCCGGTAAAGGCTGGAAGTATAGTTGCCCACAGAGGGTGACTGGTGTCAACAAGGGTAGTGCCAAGGGCAGACGTGCACGAGCACATGTTCCTGGTGCCACCATCGAATCATTTGCCCAGGTTGCTTCAGTGTTCAAAGCCAAACACCATGTACATGGAAAAGCAGTCCGCATCAGGGAAGAGGAGATGAACGGAGGGGGAAGTGAGGGAAGAAGGTTGAAAAATCACTGTACGGCCAGACACGGTTAATAACCCATTCCAGCACACCCCCTTGCCTCTTTAATGACTCAGTCACGCAAAAAACGTACGATCTTCCTGCCCGCCGCGTGGCAGGAAATTAAGGCGCGGGGAAGAGAACAGAGAAGGGGAGCTCTCATTACAACGCAAACAGGATCAATATAAACTGTGGCTTAGCGAAAGAAATCGACGACACGAGTCCATCAGTGCTGCCTCGACTGCTGGCATTGTTAAAACAAAGTAGGGGCCGTCTTCAGGCTCTAAACTTATCAGGCTTCAGGCTTGTGGAACAAGTGTCTAGGGTTTGTCTCGTTAGCTGTACAGGATAATTCTTGAGTTCCTGACTTGCACTAATTGCTGGAGGGGGAAGAGTAATGTTATTTTATTGTGGTGGATAGTCCGATGAGTCGGGGTTGTGTCATAAGTTTATAAGTCTGATATGCTGTATCAAGAATGTGGTCGTTTAGAACTGCACTACATGTCAAGTGATTATCTTCATAAACATGATCGCTTTGATGGTTTTAGGACACGCATTGAAAACATCTTTGGCAGTTGAAGCACTTTCTAAGGATGTACGGTTTTGGAGTATTATCCAGAACAAAGCAAGTACAACATGTGGTTCATGGGAAGGTAACTTCAGATTATCAGTTAAAAGCGCATGAGATTTATTTTTAAACCATTTTCTCCACAAAACACAACAGATTTGTTAACAAACAATCACTTCTGCAAGTACTCTAAAAGATTAAAATTTTCATTTCACAATACAGTAAATTCCGGCTAAGTCGGCACTCTCGGGACTCAAGAAATTATGACAACTTACGCGAATGCTGACTTGTGCTGTAAGTCGTCATTTTGCCGACTGACACTTACACATGTATTGCCTATGTACATTTTGATCCCTTCCACTTTGATTTACCCAGGTTTATTTTTACCTCTATGGTCAATCCCAGCTAATTCGTTCTCAATTATTATCCTCACAGGCTGTAAATTCAATAATTGATCACATGCCCCTAAGGACGAAGCAAGGACGGCAAGCCACTTGCATATCACATCACAACTCGACAGTGCAGTACGTGTGTACGTGATACAGTTACGGTACGGAAAACATACACACATGCGCATTGGTTAAGTTCGTTCAATATAGTCTGGATACCAGACCCGATGATTCTGACTACATGTACCTGACGAATCATTATCAAGGGTCGTCAGGGAGTCTTTGGGCAGGAAACCAGACTACGTTCAATAAGGCGACCCCCAAAATGGACAGAGCGCATGCGTATAGCAACAGAGGGGTTACTGGTGTTGATGTACTCATGCTGGCCGATTATCAACCACGGCCTGTGCTGCTAATAAACAGACATTAGTCAAGCAGTGTGGGACTTGTCACTTGACACTTCTTGGCAACTGCAGCGAAGGAAACTGATGCTGATGCTTAATTTTTTTTTAATACTGAGTTACACAAAGGAATTTGTGTGGTTTTGTGGAAAAGGGATGAGAAAACATGCCGACTTATGAGAAATGACAACTTAGAAATGAAATTTTCAATGGAAAGGCATTACAGACGATCAGGACTTTTGTCAAAAGGCCGACTTAGATGATATGACGAGTTACATGTACGAGATGCCGACTTAGTCAGAGTTTACTGTATTCCATATATACATGTATGCTATTAAGCACCCATGCAAGTGTGTATGCAAGTGCATATCTATCAGATGTCAAGTTCTTTGTTTCAACTTACAGTTTGGCCCAGTTTGGCCACATCCTATAGAGATGAAAAACTTAGAAACAAGAAAGATGTATGTAATTAGTACATGTAATTACATTACATGTACTTGTAAATAAGAAATCAAAAGGCTGTATACACATTTATGGCCAACAAGAGATCCCACATTATTCCCGCTCTCTTTGTGTTAACAGGTCTCCTAACCTCTGCTTTGGGCTTTCATCTCAATGTGCCCAACGAGAAGATCAAGGGGTCGAGGTGCACTTTGCACACGCTCGGACTAGCTAGAAGGATTATTCATAGTCAATTTTCTTTTTTCTCCTAACAGATAAGAAGTCAGCACACTTTCATTACCGCAATATTTGTTTCGCTCATTCAGCACAATCTTTGGGGTTTTTTTTGGACGGGTGGGGAAATGGACAAAATAGGAGCACGTGTACATGGATGTGTGTACCTGATAAAAGATGATTATATTGGAGGCAGCGTCAGAGTTTGGAGTGTGCCCTATCGCCTATTTATCGGGGATGTGACGTTTTGGCGTTATCATAAGATTATTAATTATCCCTTATCGGGGCCCCTGGAGGCTTATCGGTGCCCCGCCGATTGCGTGTCAATCAAGTTGTTGATACGGGCACCGACCGATTGTGTTGTTGGACATGTGTTTTAATGGGTGTTTCTCCCCTGAAACAAATAAGCTATGTTGGGGGGTGAAGGGAATGCGGCACCAGGCAACGTGCAGTAGAAAGAGTCTCTGTGTACTTTTGGTTGGAAAACGGAAGAAAGAAAGAGATTTCTTTTGCTTCGTCGGCTTGACTAGAGTATGTTCCAAAGTGAAGACCTTTTCCTTCCTCCCATAAAAACTAGGGGGAAAAGGATGGTTACACTGTACTGATAGAGATATCTTCATGTTATGGATGATTAACCCTAACCCTCCTCAATCCTTCACCTGTTGGAGGACTGAGGAGTGTTAGGGTTAAAGATTTTACTCTTATCTGTCAGACTAGATAATTTAACACCGTTTGACAGGACTATTTTAGGCTCCCTCTCTGTGAAGTGTGTAAAGTGAAGTTTATCCGTGTTGTGGTGAAACATCAAGGTTTCTGCTACCCTTCATTCTCTTCAAGATGACATCTCTCATGCCATTTTGAAACCGTCATCCCCGCCCCGCCCAACCCCAGTACTCCTGCTTTCCCTCACATGTAGCTTCTCGTCACTTATAAACACAGGGACCTCCCAAATTTGTTGCCTGGAATGATTTTGTGGCATTATTTTCTCCCCTTCAGAGATTGTTCCTTTTTTTTATTTTGAAGGAGGTCAGTTTCAGTGCTTTGACAAAGGCTGTTCTGCTCACCGTCAATAAAAAAAATGATTAATATTTTGTTAATCCTTGGGGAAGTCAAGGAGGTCAGGGCTGCCAGGACCAATCATGGCCGCCTCGACTCATATCTTAACCTCGCCATTTTAGAAAAAAGGCAGACCGGGTCCCCTAAGTGGTGAAATCCGCCCCCATTCATATCCAAATCATAAATCTCAATTATTACTAAATGGGCTCAGTATGTTGTGCAAACAGTTTAAATCTACTAACCCATATTCCCCACCTCTCTTTTTCTAAAAGCTCTTCAGCCCAAGTAGCCTAAAGAAAAGGTGGGGGGGGACAGCTTATCTCCTATTTGCCAGGGGAAACCTGTAAGACTGGGAATATTCTTGGTCAAACTCCCCGGGGTAACCATGACAGTCCATCACTCATATTTTTTCCCTCCAACTCATGTCAACTGAATGGGAGGGGGGATTTGTTTGAATGGAAACAGTGCCTAGTCATAGTCATGACACAGCTTTGGAAACAGCAAGAGGATATTTTGATCAAAAAATTGAACAGGAGGGAATACCTCTTGGGTATTACTCTAGCTTTTTTTTTTACTGATGACGGAATGAGTGAGATGGTAAGAAATTGTAAGATTGCATCATGGCAATACCCAATCTCCCCCCATCCCACAATAAAGAGTCATTTTCCCTCTTCTGGCATCCGTAAGAAAAGGTGGTTTCTGTTGTTTATTTGTTGTTTGTAAACTGGCACCTTTTTACGGAGATGTGAAGTAGAGTCTCTCTGGTTGGAATCACAAGAGCAGGTCTTTACATGTTCACGGATTTATAACTTTGGCTTGATGTTAAATATTCTTACGTCATACTGTTCATAGAATTTAATATAGATGCCAGTAAGAAATATTCCAAGTTCACATTTAGGCCTAAGGTTGGTAAAAAGAAAAGAAACCAGACTGAGTCTTCAAGAATGATGTTGGAATAGAAGTGTGTAAAAGTACGTATCACGCTCATCAGCGCATGCACTGTTATATTGTGCTAGCTATCAAGTAAATATAGCCAAGTAATCATTTAGTGCAGTGCAGTCTTCTTGTTTTCCATTGGACAACATTTTAGTGTGTCAGTTAAATGGTCTAAACAATATTTTCTTGTTTCCTCCTTTCCAACTCGTGTCATTTTCATGGGTGCTGCTTCCCTCCCGCCTTCCCATGTTCTTCCTATTTCAACTGGCCAACACGGAATGGCAGGATTTCATCACGGTAAGTGTTAACTTACCTGTATGTAATTGAAACAAATGTCGTATTAGATTAATATATATTACCCTTTTCCTCTTTTTACTAGAAACACGGGCAACTTTGATTGATTCCTTCCCTACTAAATCCGACCAATCAGTAATCAGGTTGTTTTTTCTTTGATTGAAATTCAACCCCAAATCTCCCTTTCCCAGTGGTGCACTTTTGAGTGTCCTATGCTAACCTGGTCAGTCTGGGTCAAAAGGTGAGGTATTCCCTCCCTCCATTCTTTGAACAATTTGGGCATTCCAGAGCCCAGCCCACCTTAATTACCATTGATTGTCTGCAGTTCGCCTCCCACAGGCCAAATAACAGGCTTCATCAATGCCAATGGTCCATCAGTTAATGCCTGATCAGCATAATAGAACACAGAGAGATGAGCAAGACAGGCCATTGCTCTGGGTCCAATTTCAGCAAACCTCCGCTTTTCAAATAGCATAACTTGAAGAAGAGGTTAACTGAAACATTGAAGGTGCATTCTAAAGGGTAATATTTGTCTTGTATAGACACTTGTGAACCAGTCACAGAATGATACACAGCATGGGATATTCTAGCTGGTTGCCTGTTGCTGTTGAACTGTTGTTCCTGTGTTCAGCAAAATTCTTCCTGTAATACATCTACGTAATGACGTCATGCTTTGTTCACATGTGGGCTTTCCTGTAGGAACTCGATGGACAGTGTCCCACCTCACTCTAACAGAAAAGCGGACATGTAAACAAAGTGTGGCATTGTTAAGTTTAGAGTTGTAATGACTCAAGTCAGTGACTCAACTTGAGTCTGACTCAAGTCACAATTTTCGGTGACTCAACGTGACTCGAGTCCCAACAAGTAAATGACTAAACTCAAGTCTCTGCAACCAAGTGACTTGACTCGAGTCTCAAAAGAATTAAAAACAAAAGTTCAGCATGTCTAAATGAAAATAAAAATACTTGTACCAAAAAATGACTTACATGTATTTGTGTTTGTATTGTATTTTGTTAAAAAGTTGTGACTCCAATTGACTTGAGCACGGTACTTGATTTGACTCAACTCAACTCGACTACACAAAGTGCCTCGACTCGACTTCTTGACCTAATGACTCAACTCGAATCACAATGTTAACTTTACTCAACTTGAGTCACCAAATTTAGTGACTCATTAGAACACTGGTCAAGTTACAGGTGCATTGGTCTGGATGCTTGCAGACCTATTTAAAGAGTATGTTTTGGATGAGTTTTTTACCGTAGCAGTCATAGCAGTCCAGATCCGAAAGTGTTAATAAAAGCAAAGTAAAAAAAACAAAAATGCTGTTACTCCTGATCTTTGGGCCCTTAAATGTTTCTGACACCATGACCTATATGACTTGTAAACTACACGTATACACATTTTAGTATCTTACCCCTTCACACAATGCTGTGCTTGAGAGTGACCATCAACACAAATCAAGTTCTCGTGGTCTGACCGAGATGGAACCGACCCTTTAGAAAACTGGCCATGGCAAACAGTGTGACCATTGTGGATGCCCCGACCAGATACCATGACAGGAGAAGAGTCCTGATCAAAAGTTTGTCAGAGTGTACTGTCCTGTCTCACAGAGTGCACATTAACCACAGAAAAAACATGTCAGTCGTTCCACCTCAAATCCCACTGATACGATATTGATGAATTTGGAGCAACTGAAGCAGACGGCAGTTCATGTAGGTGTGAGTATACCGGGGAAGGAATAGCGTAATTAAAGACTTGTTTTTTGGTTTCGATGCACAGGTCCCAGCTAAGCATTTCTCTTCCATTTCTTGTGTTTTCTCCTTGGGCGTCACTGCGAAAAACTCAGACTTAGTCACTTTCTAGTCCCCGGAGGATGTATCCGTCTTGTCGTAAAGGAACTAATCGGGTTTTTGGCACATTTTCAGGAAATTGCATCTGCTTATCTGAAGTCATAACTGGCCAGTCCAAACCGGGATGCCCCTAGGCTTTGCACAAACTGTTGAACTATTCAAAAATAAATCACGCAAGGGTTACACCTGTACTCTCTCACTGTCATTTACCCTTGCAAGCAGCAAGTGTAGTCAGAAGCCAGATCTCAAAACGCATTTGGCTACGGCTGACAATGATGCATGCACCCGTGGAAGCAGCCACGTTACAAGCTTTAGCCGAGTAATTCAGACCCAGGCCTTATTTTCAGCTGTTATGTTGTGACCTCAGTGGTTTCAAATAGGGGCACATTTCTCTAATGGGAGACAATGGGGGCTTTATTATTGACAGGCCATAAGTACCATACACAACTAATCTCCCCCCCCCACATACATACACACCCAAGTGTGTATTTGCCTGCAACTGGGGACCCCCTATTGTTCCTCTTTTGTTTGTACTAATTTTTTTGTGACGTTGTTGTAATCCCCAATATGTTCCCTTATTTTTCTTATTGGGAATTTTTAACAGGTAACAACCATGACAAATTCCCCCCCCCCTTGCTGAAATTATTATCATTATATATATTTCTGATAATGACACCAAGGATTCAAAGGATTCAAAGGCGTCCTAGGCACTGTAGCTCGCAAGCCTGAGGAAACCTGTGGAGAGGAGACAGTGAGAAGCAGTTACAGTTTAAGAGGTGGGAGGAAAACCCCAAAGGAATATTTTGGGATAAACACACAGAATCAGGTAGGGACTGAAAACCCAATCCACACGTGGACCGGGCCGGGATTCGAACCCGGGCCACAGAGGTGGAAGACGAGGAAAGAACCACTACGCCAACCAGAACTACCTGTCACGTGCACGGTTGCTTTTGAAATCATTTCCGTCTTTTGTTGAAAAAGAAAACTGTGAAAGTCTAAACCAGTGTAGAACCTTACAAGCCTTGGCAAGTTCCTTGGTCATTTCAGTTCAATGGTACTTGTACATGTACCAAACATGTAACGGCTAATATATAAGTTACTTGGTGATGACTGTGCGTACACACACCGTGGCACACACCGCTACGCAAACATCCTGGCCAAATCTTGTTGCCCCTCTCCTCCCCTTCATTTTACCTCTCAGTGTGCGATCTTTGCACTCCCTGGAGACATTGTTGATGGGAGGGAGAGGGGACCGGAGAGGGTGCGTGCTTACGATGACACGTCCCAACTATTTTACTGGGGATTTTTGCTACTGCAGTGCAGATAATACATGTAATTTGTATATCCCGTAGTAGGTCTCACTAAAGCACCCTTGCAGTGTTCAATTGTAAGTTATTTCTTAAGTCTTGGTTTTTTTTGTTTTTTTTTTCAAAAGAAAAAGTGTCATGAAACTGCATAATAAATAATTCACGACACGGTCTCGGATTTGATGTTCTGTTCTGTCTCTTAATAATGCAGCAAGGCATTCAAACTCTGAGGAGATTCGGGCGACCCCATGCTGAGTCTCGCTCAGGCTCGGCTGACTTGGAAACCACTCATCATGCTTGATTTCTGATCACATCAGGGGTGTCCTTGTCATTGGCCTGAAAAATCAGAATCAGAAAAGAGGTTTGGGATTAGGCTGGGTTGGGTGTAAGGGGGGATGGAAAGGGGCTGAAATGGAGGCATCTGCGTCTACAATTGCACCCACTCACTGAAATAGGCTGTAATATTGTTACGCCCTATTGGCTAACACAAATGGTAGTCACCCTAACTCTGCTGGACCAATGATGCTGTGCATGGTTTGATGGTATCGATTTAAAGAGACCCAAAGTTGTAATTGTAAGACCCAAAGTACATGCAGTTCTTAAAAAACTGCTTTGACGTGTCCCCCCACAAGGTTTTGGTTAATCGTAAGTACAATTCAACAGAAAAAAAGGGCAGGGGGTTGGACACTTTCGGTATGTTTCTCTGGGGTTAGACTAGGGGATTGTTCCCAGAATTGCACTTCAGTGTACATGTATAAAAAACTGATCTTGACCTTTTTCTGGCCATGTTGGTGTGTTCCCCGTCCCTCTCATTTGCTGCCAGCCTGACTTTGGGTGAACAAGTGAGGTACCAGCCTACTAAAGGTTTTGCACCCCATGACACCTACCACTGATGGGTGCAGGCCACTAATTCAAGCGAGAATTTCTGGCCAGCTCATTAATTTTAAAAGTTTCACCACAGTATCTATTGAAAAAGGAGATTGTTTGGCCCTCAAAATGGTGAGATTGTGTAAAATCCTTGCCAGGATCAACTCCCTGGGTCTTTGAGCTTTCATATGAGAGCAGAATGGCCAAAACTGCGGATGAAAAATGGTCATAAGTGCCTGAAAAGTTGAGGGTTGCCACTTGAAAAATTGCTGCAATGAGACTTCGGAAAAATTACTTTATGGGGGTTGATTTTGTTTTGTGGGAATAATTAAAAATGTAATTGGTTAACCCACCAAAAAAGAAATTGAAAGATTAGAGACAAGACAATAATTTCATTTGTGTTTCAGAAATCTCAGGGATGTTGGCGTGCATGTTACTGGGCCATGAACAGTGCTGATTTTACACTGTTTTCAATAGGGCTTGAATTAGTGGACTGCACCCTGATATATCGCAGTTTACTAACTACATGCACTTGCCAGCTGACAGAATTCACCAAAACATCGCAGTGATGTGCCCTTCTGACTACAATAGCAAATGCCAGCTTCATCAGCCATACAGCAACTGAGAACTCTCCAACATGTTTACATTGCACAATGCATTCCAATCAAACCTTGATTTCACTGTAACTTTTTTGGAAGAGATGTAATGGTTAATGTGATGATTTCGAAAGGACAATTTCAAAACCACCCCATTTGGAAAAGTGACGCCCCGATTTCATTGTATGAAATTAAAAGTTCATGCATTCAGTCATTGGAATTAATACAAGATTTCTGTTCGGCCATTCCATCTGGATCATGGCACTAGACAATAACAGCAGCCACTGATATATGTCCCATTTGTAAACATAGGTTTCTAGACTTTCAGCGCTTGGTCTTGCAATTTATTATTTTTTTTTTTACCTCACATACACTGGATGTGGGAACTGGCCCAGCTGTCGACCGGGAGCATACTAAGTAACTTCTCCCTTAGCCAGCTGACAATGGACGACATACGTTTGAAGTGTAGTGCATGTGTTTGGGCTTTGAAAAGTACACACCGCTTTCTTCTCACCCACCCCTCCCATTTTTGTTGTTTTTTTTTAAAGTCGTCGGCAAAGGTGAACAGTACTTTTTGTTTGAGTTTCACCCCAAATTAAACAAGGGCATGGGAGGACTGTTGGAGCCTGGAGCAGTATCGTCAAGTGCAGTCACAATGGTATCGAGCAGACATGCCCATACTTGCGTAGAACAGATGTTTTTTTTCTCCTGTTTAGTCATAATGTACTTATGGCACAGAGAAATACAGAATTAGCCATAATCATCCATGCGCAGTTTTCATCAGGACAAATATTAATCTGCATTAGTAACCGCGGCTTTAATCAAAAGGGCATTGTGTAAAAGAAATTGATTGCCAGAGATATATGTACATGAACATGAGAAGTGTCATCAGAAGATTGGCATTTTTTAGTCAGATCCCTGGCAACAGTAAAGCATGATTAATAGTGTACATTAAATTGACATCAGAATGAACCCGAGTACTGTGTGCAAAAGATATGTTTGTGAAGAATCATTGAAAAGTAACAGTAGCAGGCCTCCACAGAATAAGTAGACAAATCAGTTACAGAGCGAAACAACTAGAAAAACAAGACCACATGCATATAAATGTAAGCAGACCTGCTTGCAAGTTGTAGATCTGTACCTAAAGACCCAAAAGTAAGCAGTCAAGTTGCAAAGTCCTTTTTTCATTGCATTTGATTAATGAGATCATTTTTCTCATTTTCGCCCCCCCCCTTCTCTGCCCTTATTTCTCTCTCCTTTCATTTCCTGGTTTATAAATGTCTGGGAATGACTTGCCCCTGGATTGAATGTGCCTGATCATGATCTATGCCTACTGCCAACATCTTGGAACAACAAACCGATCACCTTCCCTTACAGGGGGTAAGTCTCTGCTATTGCACCCAGAATGTTTGCCTTGCTGCACAGGATTTGAAATAATGCCTTTAATGAAGGGACACTGACTGATGGGGCAACAGCCAACTGTACTGTATTCCAGGTCATGCAAGTTCAACTACTGTACTATTACTGAAGACAGCCAAAACGTGACTAGTTCATTTCTCGCTCAGTGAGTCGAGTCAAAACGCAACCAAAGAATCATGGGTTATTGTTTCTTAGGATATTTCTAGATTTCGGAATTCTTAACTGCAAAATTCTGGATATCTAGAAGTTTTATTCAGTTTTTTTTTTTTTAAATCTTTTTTGCACTTGGTAAAAACAAGGCACATGCAAGAGCCTCATACCCAGAGTCATTTGGGAGAAAATTCATGCCTGTTGGCCATTAAAAAGCTCCGACAAGAAATGATGTATTATTGTCACAAAGCAGACTATTAGAAGTCTTCCTCAAATGTGTACTTGCAGGATAAACAAATCCATGGATACTCTTCCCCCAGCAGAAAACATTGTTTTGGGTTTTGTAGTTTGTACAGAGTATTAAACTTAGTACCGTCATTGGCGGGGGCCACCTTGTTACCGAATTCATCCTTACATTAATGTGCCAGGTGCATTGTATGTTATGAGCTTACAATGTTTTCCATACAATGTCTTATATGTAAAGAAAACCAGACTTTCTTACAGTGAATACAAAAATATGAACTTCAACTCAAGACCTTTGAAGGACAGTTCCGATTCGGCTTCTGTCTTTGAATGAGATCCTTTCTGAGAAAGTCTTTTTTCTCACCAAATTTAACAGAAATTTAAACAGAATCTGAAACAAGCCTGTTTCATGTATTCTGCGGTACATTTTGAGAGTTGTCTAATAAACAAAGAAGAAATACAATTGGTTGCACAGGCTAATTCAATCTTTGACCCTTTTCGTTGATTTCACTGGCTCTGCTGGTTCTCCATTGCCGGACTGTCATCCCTCCCTGGTGACTTCTGACACTTCTGTGCTCCATTTCAATCAACAGTTTGTAAGTACATGGCACTTTTTCTTATTCTTGTCTGTTGAAACAAATGCAACATGGTTTGTCAGGGAATCAGGCACTGCTGCGGACGGAGAAACAGTTTGGGGAAAATAAAGACATGGGGTGAATTTCAGTTTGAGACTTTTTGCAAATTCACTCACATGAAGCTTTATTAGTCCTGTTGTCATCTTTGAGATTTTAGCCAGTCCAGTTTTTTTTATTTAATAACTTGGCTTTCGGACATCAAGTTTGAAAGAACAGAGGGGTACTTGAATAGCAAGGTCTGTGTTTAACTAAGTACATGTACCCAGTAGTCCAATATCGCCCAGTTGACCAAATTTGTCCAATTGTGACAAACCGTGTTACAATTTATATGTATTTTTCAATGAAATGCTAAAGTTGGTAACGAGAAGTTTGCCATTGGATTTGAGCCTGGAACCTATCTGCTATCAGCACAACTTTCCCCTCTGCTATGACAAATGGAGAGGCTGATGCAAGGATTGAATGCACAGCCCGCCCCCTCAACATATTTCTGTGAAGGTAAAAATTTGCCGATATTTTCTGCTGCACAGTTCAGCGCAATAAACATTATTCTTAGAAAGTTTTTTGTTACGAAGAGTATCAGTATTTGTTTATGAAGAGACAAACCATTCCATTGTTGAATTTGTATTCCAAACAAAAAGACATTACATGTACAAGGAAGATGCTTTGTTGTGGAAAGACAAAATGCTGCCCGGAGGTTCTCAGGCAGGCAGCATCCACAACCTCAACATGGTCAGATGGTTTTGGTCGTAGGCTTTTTCCCCGTGCTGTCTACCCAGGGGCCGGAATCATGTGTACACAAGCTGGCTTGGAAGTCAGCCACATAAGCTGTCTATTACCCACCATATAGCATGGGGGTATCTACATCTAAATATCCCCTGGCAAATTCCCTTACTTTGCCCTGGAGTTCTATTTTGCACCTTCCATCTAGTTTGTAGAATTGCCCCTAGCTTTGTGTTTGTCGGGAGCCGGTATCATGGAATTACTTCTCCGTCGAAATGTTTAACCTCTGCCTGTAAATTCTTGGAATGTTTTTCCAAGTGCGAAATGTCTGTTACATATCTTCAACTGGCTGTGGCAGTTGCATTGCCACGACTGAATGTTCTCGTATTGTTTTTCCCCTCTCACCAAACTTTTCCTTTTTTTATTTTACTGAAAGCTGGACCGTCAAGAAGACTGGTATTGAAATCCAAATCAGTGTACAATGTGTGTACATCTTCCATAGATCAGTCTCAGTTTTATTTTTTTTTACCCTTCTTATTTGTAATGGCGGCCAAAACTTGCACTTTTTCAGAAATATCACCCTAGGTCAGTTTCAGATTTTACCATTTGAAGCTCAGATAGCTGCGTGAATTACTCTTTCACTTTTGTACTGATGGCCAACCATACTTTTTCAGTCCTTTGTGGACAAAAATATGACTGTGACATAGAAAAAGTAGCTGCCATAAAATTGTACAGAGATTCTGCCTGAAGATAGAGGCATCGTGGACCTGAAAATGATGACGTGGACAATGTGCAGACGATATCAGTTGTTCATCCGTGTGTGAAAGTCATGGCTGTTAGGCAGCACAAGTGTCAAATTCTTTTCCCTTGTAGAATGCCACATTGTATACACTGTGGCATTTTCATTTACTATGAGGACATAGGAATGTAGACTAAAACCGTGCATCTTTCACACATTTGGATGTCCACTGAGTTGAACAAGGGACAGGTAGACCATTGGGAATTGTCTAATGTCTGTAGTCTGACCTGCCCTGTTAGTTTAGAATTTAACATCAACAATTTCATTCCTAGGTAGTAGTGATAATATTACTGTCCTGTTGTCACTCCTCGTAACATGTTTTGGTTCTCACACCATGAGGGCAGTATTCAACCCCGTGTGGTCATAGTTTCAAGCTATCTTTTGGCTGAAAGATAACTGAAATATGATGCCTTTGACAAACAATTCTCATTTTCTTCAGAAACAGAGCATGCCAATCACAAGGTTTTCCCCTTATCCTGTCCCTGTCTGTACAGGTGCACCAAAGGTTGACCCAATTCCCAGCAGATTTTTGTACCAGCGTAAAAGGATAAGTCTTTAATCAGAAAATCGCTTCCTCCTTTTTTTTCTTGTGAGATCCCCTCAGGTTGTGGTTTTCGTTTGGTGAGTTTCAAATTATCAGAGATCTAAGTGGTCTAAATTGCACGTTCTTAACCACCAAAGTGTGCAATGCTGCCAGTGGGGTTTTGTTCAAGGAAGGTTTCAATATCGGGCAGCATTCCCAAGTATAAGAAACCCAGAATCAGTCGGCATGCCGGTCCCTTTTTTTTTTCGCCAACATATCCAATGACCAGACTTTTTAAGATGAATGTCTGTGTGGCAGAGGGTTGTTCCTGAAAATCAAGATCATTGGAAGCGAAACTGCAGAGGTGATATTCTCTGTGGGAATTGCGGGTGCAGGAGTGTCCCCCCCCCTGCTGTTTCGGCTGTCCCTCTCATTGCCCAGATTGGATATCGAGATAATTCCTATTTGGGGGGCCATGTAGAACATGTGTTTGACATAGATTCCAAAGGAGGGAAGTGTACTAACAGGACAGGGTTGAAAATTAGTATTTTAGGGTTAGGAACTAGTGGCTTCTGTGGAGGAAGTTTTTAATGAGTAGGATTTTCCTAAGAATGCGTATGTAGTACACTTTTGTAGAATTGAAAATTTGGCCAGCTTTATTTGAGAATTTTCTCAGATTTGTGAGATTATGACAGTTGCAATTTTTTATCTCTGGAAGTGGTCCCCTGAAATTACTTTAAGATTAATACACAGTGCAGTTATTAAATTCAAACTCGTCGTGAAGATTTTGCATTTTCAAGTCGTTAAAAGTTATGCATTTCACAGCCAAGTTGGCCAAGTCTGAATTAAGTCAGGTGAAAAACTCAAAAGAAAAGTGTCAAATAGAACTGTGCTCAGCTGTAGCATACTTCCCAAGCTGATTTACCCGTACAGACCTACAGTACGTAGTTTTTACCTCTCTTTCTGACTTTTGTTGAGCATGGCACAAAGGTAAAGCTAAGGCCTGAAGTCCCCCCCCAGCACTAGAAAGTACAGTAGGTAGAATATTTGAACACATTCTGTGCAAAGATAACAACTGCTTGGTATTCCTGATGTACCTGTATGAAAGGTAAAGGGTCTGCCCAGTGCAGGTACCCCTACCTCAATAGAAGCCTTAAAAATACACCTTTTTGTTTCAATTGACCTTTCCCCTCCATTTTTTGTTTGGCTACTTGTAAAGGTGCACGTTCATGCATGTTGGGTCCATGTGGATTGTTGTTTCGGCATTCTTGAGCAAAGCTTCGATGTCTCTCTAGGGAGAACACCTCAGTGTTTCTTCGAATTGAATCCAGAAATTGCTGGAAGTTTTTGTATTTTGCTGTCCTAAGTATATGTCTCTTTGGTGATTTATTGTTTGATAAATGTACATATATGGAAACATGTCCGCTGGCAACCCTTTTTAGAAATGTTTTCAATACGCAATTTTGGGTTCACAATGTGAACACAAAACATGTTAACTGAACATTGTCTCAGTGTCTAGCCTGACTGACTGCAACATCATATTAGCAGCTTCCTCAGTTGTCCAGATGAGCTTGGACAATTTTGAATGTTTAAAAAAGTTACTTAAGTGCATTTTTTTTCAGTAGATTTCATCCCGAAAAGACCTCAAATAGTTTTCACACATTGAAGAGATGTACCAAAAGTTTGTCTGACAAATCGCATAGGCCCTGTAACTTGTGCTTTCACACATTGGCGATAAAAACAAATTTTCTCGTCTGAAACTGGGTTTCAGATCCATACCACAGCAGGGAAAACAAGTGACAAAAGTGTCTGGGTGTGAGGTAAAGTCCCACTTCACCTAGATTTTAACCTGCACATGTACAATTGTATATACGGTACCCCTTGATGAAAAATCACCTCTTATTCGTCCCCAGGTAATGTAAACACTTCACCCGTTGTCTGTTTGACTGGCCTCAATTCCCTGTGTGTTCTCCACCTGTGGTCTGACTGTCAAATCCATTCTTTGCTGCCAGAGACTAGATCCTCTGCTACTAACAGCACTTGTCTTTTTAATTGGCCATATTAGTATACCACAGTTGATTCTGCATCTGTACATCAAATGTTTGACTTTGTTACTTCCATACATACTTCTGTGTTGAATTCACAGCTAGGAACAAAAGAACAAGCATCTCTTCTTTACTTTGTAAACTACACTTTAGTTGGACAATTTCAAGTTTATAGCGTATTTGCTAGCTAAAGTCACCATCGAAAGAGAGTTGATTTCTGGCTGTTCCATTTGCACCTTGCTTCCCTCTGTTTCAAAAGGCTCGCTTGAAAACACTGCCTTTTTAGCCACCGAAACAATAGAAAAAACTATGCATGTGCCCTTGCCACTTGGATTAAACACCATTCTTTGAAGTTATTTCTTTCTAATGTGTAATCTTAATGTGCAATATTAGAATTGGATTACATAGACAGTTCCTGAAATGTTAAACTTGTGAAAAAAAGGAATCGTATGATGGTATTGCATGATTCATGGTGACATCATCACCACAGTTCAGTATTGGACAAATGCTACTGATTTGACCCGTCCAAGCACTACTAAAGTTTTATTTTGACTGAATTGAAATGATGTGGAAATGGGCTTGGGCTCCACCTCAGATGATGGATTTCCAAACCCATTTTATGCATCCTGTTGATCAGATAGTTTGGATCCTTTTCGGATCAGATGACTTCCGCTTTCTGAGGACTGAAGTGCTTGAAAAAAAAAAGGACATTCCCTTCAATCATAGATCTCCCTTCAGTTGTCTTTTGGGCTTTTGGAACCATCTCACAGCCAGGATGAACAACATCTGTGATATTTCAATTCAGTCCTTCTCTGGGTTTTGTTCTTATGGTCACGAATGCTTCATGGCCACACATGGGCATTGCCAGGATTATGGGGGGGGGGACAAACCACTTTTTTTCTTAGGGAGGGATTTTTTAGGAGGAAGGGAAGACAGAGGGGGGAAAGTTACATGTAACATTCTCGGGAAAATGGGCATTTGA